AAATAGAGCCTTTTTTTGGTGGTATTTGATCACCTGTGCATTTTTTATTTATTGTGCTATAAACAAAAATAGACCAACAATTTTGAAAAAAATACTTTTGACTTTTTGCTAAAAAACATCCAGTAAAACAATTTAAAAAAATAAAATTTAATCATAAATTTAGGCCAACATATATTCTGCTACATGTCTTTACTAAAAAAAAATCCCAATACATGTAAATGAATTGGTTTACGTGAAAGATATAGCGTTTACAAATGGCAGTATGTATACTGGAATTTTTTTATATTTTTTTCTACTAGTAATGGCGGTGATCAGTGACTTATAGCGGGTCTGCGGCAGGCATTCTGCCACTGGGTGGGAACTGACTAACTGCCATTGACATCCCAGTGACACTAATACAGTGATCAGTGCTAATAAAAAGCACTGACACTGTACTAATGACACTGGGCAGGAAGGGGTTAGCATCTGTGGCGATCAAAGGGTTAACTGTGTGCTGTGTGCCGTTTTACATAATGTGCTGTGTGTGTTTTACTACAGAGAAATACACAACAGCATGTTATTGCTGGCAGCAGAGAGACCTGTGTTGTTTACACGCTGCTCTCTCACCTGTCTCTGTGTCCAGGACCTGGTGATTAACATCTGTAGCCGCCAGTGGTGGCACGGGTAGGGTGGCGCACGCGTGCCCCCTACCTGGGAATGCAAATCACGTATATATACATGATTTTGCGCAGCCCTGCCACCCTGTAACAATACTTCTGTTATAGGGCGGAGGTGAAGTGGTTAATATTTTTTCCATGAATGTACCTTGAGACCTTCAGAATCAACAGTGCATGTGCCTTACAGTAAAAGGGAATTAAACTGTTGCTTTGAACAATCAGATTGTAGGCTGGTGTCACTGGGACCATCTAACCGGGCCCTGGTGACACATGATGGCTACTATGGATAAAATGTATAATTTGATAAAGACTCTAACATAAAACTTACACCACTGGAAGCAGTGCAACCAAGAGAAAAACTATGAAATAAAGAGTAGAAATGTGCAATTTGTTTTGGTCTGAATGTGGATTCAGACACATTTTTGATTGTTCGGAGATTCGATGTATCCAGATCTCTAAATGAGATAGTAATGAATTTAACTGAAATTAATTTCACATATTCGTTTTCTAACTAATTCAAACTTTTCAGAACAATTCAAATTGGTTGCTAGTTTGACTCTTTCCCTTACAGTGTAGTGTAGCTAAAACCTTAAGGTGAAAATGTTGCTGGCAGAAAAAATGTCATTGTCTGTATTTCTCTTCTGCAATAGAAGATCCTTTTCTGCCTGCCAGCAATGTTTTTCCTAATTTTACACTGAGCCACACATGCACAGGGCTTCACGTCATCCCAAACTGAAAAGAATAAAGAATATGGGGAGAAGATGTCCACAGTGACGAAGCAGCGACTGGGGGTGAGGTAAGTGTAGTGAACTTTTGTTCATCTTAAGGGTCGGTTCACACTATAGAAAGGCAGCCCAGATAAGTTTCTCCAAGTGCATTTTTGGCGCGTTCCAGTGTGTTTTTGATGCGTTCCAGTTCATTTTTCCCCTCTTTTTCTTCAATTTAAATAGGGACTTGTGCATTCTGGTGCATATTTTTTACCATGTTCCAGTACAGTTCTGTGCAGAAAAAATGCAGCCTGTTCTACTTTTTTTTCTGCAACCAAAACACACTGGAACTGCAAGCACTGATGTGAACTATGACATTGGCAACCATATAACCTACTTTCTGTGCATTTTGTATGCAGAAAAAAGCAACTGAAATGCATATAGTGTGAACTGGCCCTTAAAGTTTATCTAAAATCAAAAGTGATTTCTCTTCACTTCCTGTCTCGTGAACAGATTGAAAAACAAGAGGAAATCTTTACAAAGTGAGGCAATTCCCCTTTCATACAGTTGTCAATAGCTCCCAACTGCCCCTGATTTGGAGGGACCGGCCCTATTGCGAGACTAAATCCCTCTGTCCCTCATGCAGCTTCAGTTGTCCCTCTTTTTGGTCTGATGTGCATATCTTTATTCAGAATGTAATTTTACTACCATAATTGTTATGCTGCACTATTTTTTTTCATCCAAACCTCTATATCCCTGCATTTGTTATTTTGGAAAGCCAATACAAAGATAGAAAAATAGAGCTCAAAAGAGGCACTTGTGTGGTTTACCCCCGGTTCACATTTGAATGGACTCCCGTGCCCATGACACGCAGGGAAGAAGTCCCTGCACTTCTTTGGAAAACGCAGCCCGCATGGCACCTCGGTTCTCAGTACGGTTGCGTTTTCCAGTGCGGGCAGCCTGCCATTAGAACTAATGGCACCCTCAGGTCCGCATTTCTCTGTGCGGGTGGATTTTCCTGCGGATCCGCAGCGGCACCACCAGCACAGATGTGAACCTAGCGTAATCCATTGGACTGTACACCCATTACCACCCATCATACCATAAGAACATACCTAAGTAATAAAATAACACGCAACAAGGATTGTGGAAAAGTTTTAAGCCACGGCTCCTTTGGGTTTAAATCAATTTTAATTATGAAATGAACTTTAAACTTTAATATCAAACAGAACCTCTGTTAACCATTAACAGACCAACATGCTTAGTCACTAAGACTCAGGCAGCAATATCTTATACAACCAAATAACTGCGTACCAACCACTGTCCATCCACAAAGTGGGCGACATTACCTCATAAAGATGGATCTTCAATATCAAACAGAACTATTGTTAACCATTAACAGACCAACATGCTTAGTCACTAAGACTCAGGCAGCAATATCTTATACAACCAAATAACTGCGTACCAACCACTGTCCACCCACAAAGTGGGCGACATTACCTCACATAAAGGTGGACCGTGATGAGGGAAAAATTAACAAAGGGGAGGGAGGGTGATAGAGCAGGTCAAAAGATCCAGTAGGAAGGCTGAGGAGAATCCAGAGGTGAGTCTATCTGAGGTAAATGCTGACTCCGCCCAGTGACAGGAGAGGATATAAGTGAAAGGTTACACTCATTGGCTAGATGTTTCCCGCCTAAAGATTTGTCACCAATCCAGTGCTCAGCAGCTGATGTAAATCCTCCTAGCGACAGTAGGCAGCTTGTTACCTGAAATACAAAGCAGAGAGAACCAGCAAAGCAGCCATAGAGAGACATGGAATTACCAATCATCATAGCCCTCTATTAAAGTAGAAGTAAACCCACTTTTGTATCTTTTACCTACAGATAAGTTTACAATAAAGCTTACCTGTAGGTAAAAATAAATATCTCCTAAAAACGGGACAGTTTAGGAGACATTCGCTCTTTTTGTCCGCTGGCGCATGCGCTCTGAAGGAACGGCATACCCGTGCTGTTCCTTCAGAGCACTGTGCCGTATCCGGAGATCGGCCAGTCAGGTGGCCAGGACTCGTGGACCCTGAAGGAAGACCGGGTAGATGGAAGTCTCTGCAGCGGGGACACCGCTCCGCTGGAGGGCTTAGTTTTAAGATAAGTCCTTAATAATGTGCTAGAATGTGATGCTTACTAGCACATTATGACATTCCCTTCCAGGGGATTTGTTAATTTTTTTTTTTTCTCAAGCTGCGGTTTACTACCAATTTAAGAGTGACATTTATATAAAAAACAAATGGGTGATAGGGGTGACAATCCCATGGGGTCACTTCTCTATATTTTTCTTTTGTGGCCCTGACATTCCTTTTCTGTATATTAGACCTTTGTAGTCTGTGTAACTGGGGATTAGGTTGTGGCAGAGAGGTGTCCTTTGCCTGCATACTGTGTGCTAAAAGTTGTCCATATTTTTCATTTTAGAGAGAGTTGGGAGGATTCCTGTTGCCAGCAGAACAAGTGTTCCCACTAGAGGATTTCCCCTGTATTCCTGTTCTAGTTAGAACTCAAAAGTTTGGATTATCTGTTTTAGTCCTGAAGCACCAGGAAAAACAGATGACAAAAAACTCTAGGGGGCTCAATTCACTAAAAGCAGATCGTATGAGGTATTTAGGTGATCTGACACATTTTTCCCAAATATCGCATGCGATTCTAAAAAAGTCAGTTTACTATCTCTTTATGCAGTATTTACCTCAAAAAAGCATAAATGCTCTGTAAATACGGCATTAAATTCAATTGACTAAAGGAAATAAGTAAATGCATGTGGTAAATAAGAAGTGGTCCAGGCATTCTATACTTAAAGAAAGTATTTTATTTCAGCTGGTTGTCAAGGAGCAGGCACCTGCTCACGTCCTTAACAACCAGTAAACAGCTAGTTGTTAAGGAGCGGGCAGCTGCCGCATCCTTAACAACCATGACCCATCTGCTGTCAGCGGGGTTTTGTGCTGAAAGCAGAATGCAAGCAAAAGAATTGCCAACATTTAAAAATATTTAAAGAAAACTGTGTTGGGGTCCCCTCCCAATCCATACAAGACTCTTCAGGTCTTCCCCTCCTGAACCATACCAGGCCACATGCCCTCAACATGGGGGGGTGCTTTGGGAGACAAGGGTCTCTTCCCCACAACCCTGGGAGGTGGTTGTGGGGGTCTGTGGGTGAGAGGCTTATGGAAATCTGGAAGCCCCCAGATACTGGCCCTTACGTGAAGGAGTATGGGGTACCCTTACTCATTCATCCAAAAAAAAAGTAAAACCCCAGAGACAGTTTTTGACAAGTCCTTTATTAAAAATAAATAAATAAATGTCCCCCAGAGTAGGTCTAACGTCAATCGCAATAAATGCCAGCTGCTGTCCCGGATTAAAAAAATGACCCTCACCGACGCTTGCTCCTGCCAAATGACATCTCTGCGCTGCCCACTGCTAAATAAACCAAGGGGCAAGGCCTCCAGTGAGATAACTGGGTGACCCTGCCCCTTTATGACATCATCGATTGGTAGTTTTCACTACTAAAATACCTCATCACTTCATAAAAAAGCTCATGCAGTCTTTTAGTAGCTTTTTAGAGAATTGTAATAAAATTTGTGAAGAACGTTAAGAGCAGGGGGGGACTGACCATTTGAGCACTCGGGCACTGCCCGAGGGCCCGGGGTCAGTAGGGGGCCCCATGAGATGCCCCTGGTACCTTTCATTGTCTTTTTCAAAGGCTTTTTTGGGTGTGGGCGAGGACACAGGGGCCCCATAATCCCCTATTACCCGGGGGCCCCATGAGTTGTCAGTCCGCCCCTGGTTAAGAGGTATTTTACCGCAGTTCTTAAAGCAGTAGATACCACTTTGTGAATTGAGCCCAGGGTCACAAACAGCATTAAAAACATGACAGTTGTTCTAACTCCTCACCAATCCAATAAAAATGTAAAGAATGTTTTGTCATTAAATACACTTTAGGCCTCGTGCATACTGTCAAATGCTGGGCAGAAAAAAAGCCCACCACATCTAAATACGTGTAAATAAGTCTAAATGTGCCTAAGTGCTATGTGCGTTTAGCGACTGAACGTTATTTCATTTCATTTTCAATTACAACCATTGCATTTTACCTTTTCACAGTATCTGTCACTATCCCGCCTCATTGTCTCATTTCCAGGAATTATGTGTTTCACTGAAAGGTCTGGAGGATAAAACATATCAAGAGCGACTTCAGGAACTTAACATGTACAGTCTGGAGGAAAGACGGGAAAGGGGAGACATGATTGAAATCTTTAAATACCACAAGGGGGTGAATAAGGTTCAGGAGAGCAAAATTTTCAACACAAACCAAAATCAAGAACACGGGAATATGACCTTAAACTAACTGGAGAAAAGTTTAAAACTAATCTCAGAAAATACTATTTTACTGAAGAAGTAGTTGATGCTTGGAATAAACTCCCAGTAGAGGCAGTGAGTCAGTCAACAGTAAATAGCTTCAAACATGCTTGGGACAAGTATAGATCTATACTCAGACAAAAAAGTGACCAAAAAAAACAAAAAAAAGAACCAAAAAAAAAAAAAAACGGGCAGACTCGATGGACCACTCTGTCTTTTTCTGCCATCACTTTTCTATGTTTCTACTATTTATAGTGTTTCGCAACCAGGTGACTCCAGTATAGATCTGAGCTCCTGCAAATCAGCAGCATGTTGTGTGTTAAAATAAAAAGGAACTATTAAACTCAACAGAATAATACCACAGCTGGCTAAACATTAACTAAAGCAGAGTGGAAACAACAGAAGAATATCCTTTTCTTCTCTGCCCAACAATACAGAACAAAGCAGTTTCCATCAATGTATAAGATAGAAATTACTGAGCAGTTTTCTGTAATAAAATATTAGTAAATGTTCTGTTTCCACAACATGGCCATATTACAAGGGGTTAGGACTGTGACTACAATATCGGGCTGAGTGCTTCATGCCATAAGTCTGAATACAAGATGACAGTGAACTGGCATGTAAGGCACCCATACAGCAATGTTATAATTGCTGGGGGGGAAAAATAGGAAACTATTCTAATATTAACCATTTCTTTTTTCAGTGAATTAAAGTAGATGTAAACCCAGACACTTAAAGTGATAATAAACAATATCCTTAAATAATCCATACACATACACATCTTAATCACTATTACTCTGTTTTTCTGTCTCTTTGTAACGTCTTCCATGAGCTCCCAGACCTCTCCCTTTACCCTCTCACTTCCCTTTGTTTGGAACAAGCAGTACACATTAGTTGGGATCATGTGCACTGCTCTATGGATGCTACAAATCCCATATTCCTTAGTCCATTTCAGGAGCAAGAAAGAGCATGGCTACATTCCTACATACAGTAGGACCACGAAGAAATGTTGCCACCCTCTAAGAGACAGCAGCAAACAAATTTAGAATGGAATTTGGAGTTTTGGAGGAGGCAGAGAGCAATAGAAGATACTTTATAATTAAGAATACATACTTGATTAATGTAATGCTCACCCCCTCAAGGCCCACTGGATTCCACAAGCTTTCTCCCAAAGTTAGTACAGAGGCAGCCAGGCAAGCAGCAACAGTTCACCCACTCTGGCTCAATAATTTTCCTAGGGATGTTTTTTTTTTTATTTATTTCTGAAACTTGTAACTGGGGAGGACAAAAGGGTATGGGATACCTCAAAACGTCAAAGCACAAATTTAGCAGTGGACACTTTCTCTGGGTGATAGCAACACAGTCTTCTATTCTCAGCCATGAACCAGGAGAATGTTGTAACACAAGTAGAACATTTAATTAGACTGGAGCAGTCTATGTATCCCACAGCTGTCAACCACAGGGTAGGTTTGGATAATTATTAGGAGCAGGCTAGAATATTCTGAGTTCCCGCAGCTGAAGACCACAAGATGAACAGTAATAGGCATACTAGAGCTGTTTGTAGCATCCACAGCTGGGGACCATAGATAAACTGCAGCTCAGGAGATTGAGAGCTTTACTCACAAATACTGGTAGAAGCAAGTCTATGGGCTCAATCCAGGGGAAGGAGTAGTCCAACAGCCAGTCAGGAAGGTTGCAGGGCTTAGCAGCCCCTTGAAGCACACAGACCACCAGGGGAAGAACGGATCAGCTCGGTCCCTGGCTATTTACATGCTTCCCACTCGCCATCTGGGCACACCTCCCCAAGGTTCTGAGCAGAGCCAGCCAGGGGGAGCCAATCAAATCCTCAGATTCTGGAGATAGAACAGACCAAGGCAACAGAACACAGTTGCTCTAGTTGCAGAGCAAGCTGCACTAAGTTTTCCTAGCATCCTTAGCCTAGTAAGGTTGCTACATAACATTTCTTTTTTAAACCAGAGTTTAGTGTCATTTTAAATCTCATATTAGCTTGAAAATGTTAACCTAATTTCAAAAGTATTCTTGTTTCGAAAATCTGCAGCTTTTTGTAAAATAATACCAGGTGATCATGACATGAAGGTGCTATTGTAGGAACTTCCTGTAATAGGGTGACAATGCTCTGTTCCTGTGTCCCAATTGTTCTCCTGTGTTGTCAGCCTGTCATGCACTCTCCCGATGGAGCACTTTTTGCTGTTGGTATCATCAAGAAACACTCGCTAAGAAATGAAATGAAGCAGTTGTTGGATTGCATGTATGTAGACCACACCATACTGATTTAGTTTTATGTGGGCTGAGATTCTTACTATTTTTTTATAATTTCCAAATCCTCTCATGCGAAAACTTCCCTGCCTTCTTTCCAGAAGGTCAATTTATCATTCGTTGGCAGCAGGAGCCTCCAATTTTTTCTGTTTATTCTACATTATGGAGAGTTTATCTGTGCATTGTGGCTGTTGGTTGGAACTGAGGATTTTGTTGGACATGTGGTACTACGGGGTCCACAGCAGATCAAAGAAACCAGAATGAAATTTAACTTACCAGCCACCATCCAGAACCTTTGTTTGGAGCCGATTTTGAATATAATGTCTCTGCTGCTTGCACTGGTTAGTGATCAGAGGGCTGCGGGAAGCAGGTTCTGGCATTATCGTATGCGGGCACTCACTATGACACACATCTATGCAATATTTGATCTTCACAAGAATTAAAGTGACCATTCAGCATTGCTTTGTAATTTAAAACGTATTCCTGTTATGTGAAGAATACATGCATAAAGGCTCTGTGATTTTAGCATTGAATGGACAAGAATTCTGTATACATTTGGAAATGACTCCTCAGACTATTGTCCTTTAGTAGGAGGTGCGTCACTTACTGCACATGAATGACAATAGACACAACTATGTTATATTTTCATAGAATTACTTTCTTTGTCTATCCTGATACATTGAGATAGTCTTAAGTATATTGTACACTGAATGTGTACAACATGGCAATGGAATCTTTGTAATGTCTTGTTTAGCTAAGGCTATGACTTAAAACACACACTTTAATACAATTATACAGTATATTACAATTCCTTTAAACTACATTCATTTGGAATACTGCTAATTTAATAACCATGATTTGTTGTATTTATTTGCTATTTTACAAGCATATGTGAACATTTTTTTAGTGTACCGGTATTTCTGAATTAAAATATTTTTTAGCAAATATCATGCAAAAATCATAATTTTTATTTGCTAGGTTCTCTACATTCAGAATATCTATATTTTTCTAAGCTCTAAATCAAACTCTAAAATTCTAAGTCAAAACGAACTCTACAATCGTTAATGCATCCTTAGGCCCTATTTACACTATGATGCACAATGGCAGGCAACAGGTATATGTGCTTTTTTTGGTCATTTGCAAACTGTGGCAGAAGGCCAGATGCGGTCATTTGCTTGCTTTTATCCAGCCTTTGGGACATTATCCCCCCACTGTGTGCAACAGTGAAGCATAGTTCCTGCCACGGGCACAGACAATGCGGTGCTATTCCTCCCACTGACACCAATGATGGGGCACTATTCCTGTCACTGACACCAACAATAGGGTCATTATTCTTCCTCCTAATACCAAAGAGGGGATACTGTTTACTCCCACTGACACCAAGACATTTTTTGCTCCTGCTGGCCACAGTCTGGCCCCCTAAAGTTTGAAGAACAGTAAACTGTCCCTTTGTCTAAAAGTTTGGAGATCCCTGGCCTAAAGGATAACTAAAACCAATATCACAAAAAAAAATTATGTTGCAAATTGCCAGGCCTTAGATGTAAAGACTGCAGGCTTTTTCCCTTTATTTTCATTGTGATTAGTCTGACAAGGGGCTAGGGAGTGATAAAACCAGGCAGTTGAATGCAATGGTGGTAGTGAGTCATTTACAGGGTTACATCAGGTAGCAAGGATGTGACATATCAACAGCCAGTTGGCATGGGAATTTTACCAGCCCATTGGGATAGGGTACCTTCAGCTGGCTTACAACAGGTGTGCTCTTCTTCCTCTTCAGGGGGGTTCCTCAATGCCTGGCACTCCTGCATTGCTCACTGTCTCCTAGCCATCGTAGGCAACCTATTCCTTACATAAGACATTCTGATCCCCTATTATTAGGCAAGGTATCACACATGACATGGAGATGTCCCTCCCAGACAGGGCCATATATCACCAGGGGTGTATTTACCACAAGGCAAACAAGGCATTTGCCTAGGGCGGCATTTTTCAAGTGGGCAGCACCACCCCCGGAAGAAGAGACACATGCGGCATTGGGACTAGGTGGGATCCGAGAGAGGTTGCGGGCTGCTTGATGGTGTATGGAGAGCCTGATCCCTGTTCCCAGGAATGTCTGGAGCTGTGAAGGTCAGTGTCTTTTTTCTCGCATCGGGGGGTGAGGGGGGGTGGTAGTGGAAGAAGCTCTTTCAGGTGGGGGGTGGACAGGTGTGTTGTTGGTCAATGTCAAGCTCTCTCCGTGGAGGGGCGCCCAATTTTTGTGTTGCCTAGGGGCAGCACAAAACCTACATGCACCACAGTATATCACCACTCAATAAAGGAAAACTATAACACACATCCTTACATATACTACATCTACAGAGACACATGAATATTCATGTCCCAAGGATTTGACATTTACTTTACTGCTAGTTAAACAGAAACAAAGGAGGGTGTGTGAGGTGTGTGCTAACTCCAGTAGCCAGGAATTTTCAGCCAACATGTAAATGATTTGCATTAAAAGTACAGAAGCTGTCATTGTGGTTGTAGAGAGAACCTCCTCCCAGCAAGGACGCACTTTGCATCTGTGATGTAATATGTGCTCAGGGTGGAATATTGACTATGTCATTACTGCAGAACATATACAGTATACTGTAGAAGGGGATAAGCCACACACAGCATGTAGAACAGTGATTGACATTATAGCATCACCACTGCATCCATAGAAATACATAGTCCCTAATATTAAACCATGGAAACACATACTGTAGGTCTGATTTACTGAAGACACATAGGCTGTTCACTTTGCAAGGGAATTTTCCCCAGAGCAGAGTGAGGTGAAGCTTTACTGACTGATTATCTGATCAGGTGGAAGTAAAAATTTAACTTTTAAAAAAATTCCCATGCATGTAATTGGGTGGCCTTGCAAGGTAAAATCTCACAACAGTCACTAAGCTCTGGGGAAAATTATCTTGCAAAGTACATAGTTGTCACCAGTTCCAAAACGTTTTTAGGGACACCTTTTTTTTTTTGTGTCCAGAAAACCACTGTGAGTGGATCATGTACTTTAATTAGTGGGCAGGCATTCATTTAATATGAGCATGTATCTCAGGCCTGCATCATTCAAGTATAGCAAGGCATCGTCTGCATAAAGGTATAGTTTTTCCCCCAAGGCCTTAATCTTCAAACCCCAAACTGCTGGAGATTCCCTGACCAAAGTTGCCAGAGGCTCCAGGGCCAGGGAAACGGACTAGGGGAATGAGGGCAGCCCTGATGAGTACCTCTATGGAGCAAAAAAGGTTCACACAGCCAATTGTTGGTGTGGACCCGTGTCCAGGGCATCCTGTGGAGGAGTTGAAGCCCATGCCGAAATTTAGGGTCAAAACCAAATTATCAGAGAACCTCCCAAAGATATGCCCGCTTGACGGAGTCAAACGCCTAAGGAGGCCACCACTCTGGTGCCACAGTTGTCATGTGTCAGGGAAAGGTTTAAGAAAAGGCATCTAATTCATGTAGCATTTGCTTCCTGGAATCCATCTGCCCTTAGCTCAGGCATGTAGCCTTTAAGCCTGCTTTCCTATATATTTACTAATGCTAGCAGCTGAAGGATTTAAAATAGTCAATGTTGATTGAGAGAGTAAAGTTCCACTTTAACCAGCACAAATTTTAGTTCAGCTGTTTTAGTCAGGCTGTGTTTTACTGATCTAGCTATTTAGTATGACATTTATATTGCAGGTCAAGATGTACTTTTTCTATTTTTGAAAATGTTAATTTATAGTTGTCATTTTTATTGAGGGAATCTTACCAGAGAAAAGAGATCAGACATTTAAGAGGAATAATGCAATGTTCTTCTAACTGCCCAACGTGTATATAACTTTCCTAACTATTTTTATTTATCTGACATATATGCAGTGTGCTTATCAGAGAGCTACGTGCATTCCCACTTTCATTTAAAACATGTCAGAGGTTGTGTAATAATATTAGACACCATATAAGAAGGCTAAGAAATGTGTAAGGAAATAAAAGAAAAAAAGGCAGGTAGCTATGGCTTTGACTGCCAGTGATTTAAGCAGTGCTAGACACAAAATAACATTGGTTGAGAGCCCATTTTAGCACACCTTAAGTATACTTAAAGGTGCCTTAAGATGTAATTATGAGGAAAACAAATGACATATATTATGTAGCCTGTCACTAGCGTAAACAAGGTGGTAGTTGCAGGGGTTGAACAAACCATACCACACTGGTGGGGTGCTTACAATGGTCAGATTTTATTCATATGGTATAAATGTTTAAAAGCTATGGTGTAAAGCTGAAAATGATGTATGATTTTTTATTGTATAGTTGTGTTAGGCCAGCTTAGACCAATGTAAGTATGCATTTCTCATACCTGATCAATCCCTGTATAAACTACAAATCACTGTAGTTGTTGTGATAGTGGAATCCTCAAGGTCCAGTGCGGCTATCCCTCTGCATAGAAACCAAAAGGGGGGTCTTGCAAGCAACTGCCAACTATCAAAGAAAGCCTTTTATTTTTTTCATTGAACACAGGGCTTTTTTTTTGATTAGATGAGATGGAGATCACCTTGGCTCCCCACCTCTTCCAATCTGAGAATGCCTTGTATTCCATGAAAGTAAAACAAAACTTTCTCTGAATGGTGAGCGACCCTCTGTTGTTACTATGCAGAAGGGCAGCCCCTCGGCCCTGGACCTTGAAGAAAGCTGTTATCACCGAAGTAGTGGCAACTACTACAGTGATTTGCAGCTTACACTGGGATCATTGAGTATGAGATATGCATACTTACATTGGTACAACACATGACCCTAGAACCCCACATTTGAAACCTCCTTAAGGGCCAGGAGGCACCGGTGTGAACAAGTCAGACAAAATCATTTCCTTTTTGTGTGCACAAAAGCATATGTAATGGAAATTGTTACTTTTTAAAAAATGATCCTCTGTCCTGAGGTTTATTTGTGTCTGTGAAGCTGTCAGTTGTGGTTTGTAATTAGGAATATTTTGTGGGTACAAGCAGGGGCGGACTGACCATTTGGAAACTCGGGCACTGCCCGAGGACCCGGGGTCAGTAGGGGGCCCCATGAGATGCCCCTGGTACCTTTTTCATAGGCTTTTTTGAGTTTGGGCAAGGACACAGGGGCCCCATGATCCCCTATTGCCCGGGGGCCCCATGAGTTGTCAGTCCGCCCCTGTACCGGACTGTCCAGTCAGAGTTCATAGGAGTCAGGTAGGTCAGTATAGGAATCAGGTAGGTCAGTATAGAAATCAGGTAGGTCAGTGTAGTAGTCACGGAGGTCAGTATAGGAATCAGGTAGGTCAGTGTATGAATCATATAGATTAGTGTAGTGGTCAGGTAGGTCAGTGTAGTACTCATGTACTGTAGGTTACTGTGGTAGTCAGGTAGGTCAGTGTAGTGATCAGGTAGGTCAGTGGAGGAATCAGATAGGTCAGTGTTGGAATCAGGTAGGTCAGTTTGGTAGTCAGGTAGATCAGTGTAGTACTGATGTAGGTCACAGTAGTAGTCAGGTACTGTAGGTCTGTGTAGGAATCAGGCAGGACAGTGTAGGAATCAGATACAGTAGATCAGTGTAGTGGTCATGTAGGTCAGTGTAGGAATCAGGTAGGTCAGTTTGGTAGTCAGGTAGGTCAGTGTAGGTTACTATACTAGTCAGGTAGGTCAGTGTAGGAATCGGGTAGGTCAGTGTAGTTGTCAGGTAAGTCAGTCTTGGAATCAGGTAGGTCAGTGTAGTAGCCAGATAGGTCCGTGTAGAAATCAGGTAGGTCAGTATAGGAATCAGGTAGGTCAGTATAGGAATCAGGTAAGCCATTGTAGTAGTCAGGTAGGTCAGTGTAGTAGTCAGGTAGGTCAGTGTAGGAAACAAGTAGGACAATGTAGTACTCATGTAAGTCACTGTAGTAGTTAGGTAGGTCAGTGTAGTGGTCAGGTAGGTCAGTGTAGGAATCGGGTAAGTCAGTGTAGTAGTCAGGTAGGTCAATGTAGGAATCGGGTAGGTCAGTGTAGTAGTCAGTTAGGTCAGTGTAGAAATCAGGTAGGTCAGTGTAGTAGTCAGGTAGGTCAGTGTAGTAGTCAGGTAGGGCAGTGTAGGAATCAGGTAGGTTAGTGTAGTTGTCAGGCAGGTCAGTGTAGGAATAAGGTAGGTCAATGTAGGAATCAGGTAGGTCAGTGGACTGGTCAGGTAGGTCAGTGTAGTAGTCAGTTAGGTTAGTGTGGAAATCAAGTAGGTCAGTGTAGGAATAAGGTAGGTCAATGTAGGAATCAGGTAGGTCAGTGGACTGGTCAGGTAGGTCAGTGTAGTAGTCAGTTAGGTCAGTGTAGAAATCAGGTAGGTCAGTGCAGTAGTCAGGTAGGTCAGTGTAGTAGTCAGGTAGGGCAGTGTAGGAATCAGGTAGGTTAGTATAGTTGTCAGGTAGGTCAGTGTAGGAATAAGGTAGGTCAATGCAAGAATCCGGTAGGTCAGTGGACTGGTCAGGTAGGTCAGTGTGGTGATTAGTTAGGTCAGTGTAGGAATCAGGTAGGTCAGTGTAGTAGTCACATAGGTCAGTGTAGGAATCAGGAAAGTCACTGAAGTGGTAGGTAGGTCAGTGTGTTAGTCAGGTAGGCCAATGTAGGAATCAGGTAGGTCAAAGCATTTTGATATGGCTTTGCTTTATTACAAAAGAAACTTGTGTCATGAGATGATAAAGGCACCATAAGGTGCAGGTAGGTTCCCCATCTTAACCTCTTGCCGACCACGCATAGCCGAATGACGGCTTCACCGCGGGCCGGCCAGTTCTGAGTGGACGTCATATGACGTCCCAGAGGGGTCAGTGCCCCAGGGTAGGCGCAGTGTAGTCGGCGTCGTAGGGAGTGTAGCTGTCAATGTGGTGAAAGGTAGGTACCAGTGATCAGTCCAATGACACGCTGATCAGGGTAGGTCAGTGTCAGATCGTGAGGAAAGTACTGCCGAGAACCGGCAGGTAGGTCACCGTCATCAGGGCACTGATGATCAGTGTGATAGGTCAGTGTTCCGCCCAGCAGTGGCCCACTAGCCCCGCCCCACCCGTTCAGTGGTGCCCAGCAGTGCCCCCACCTGTCAGTGTGTGGTGCAGTGCCACCTAGTGCCCAGAAGTGCCACCTACATGTGCCCAGCAGTGCCACCTGTGCCCACCCACCTGTGCCCACCAGTGCCACCCACCTGTGCCCACCCACCAGTGCTGCCCACCAGTGCCACCCACCAGTGCAGCCCAGCAGTGCTGCCAGTCAGTGCCACCAGTCAGTGCCCAGGGGTTGTGCCAGCCAGTAGTCAGTCAGAAGTGATGTCAGTGCCATCAGTACCCATCATCAGTGTCACCATCAGTGCCGCCTATCAGTGCTGCATATCAGGCCTATCCGTGACCCCTAATTAGTGCTGTCTATAATAGGCCTAGTGTGCCACCTCATTAGTACTGAAGTGGTCAGGTAGTGTCAGTGCTGCCTTAGTCAGTGGCCTAGGCCAATGTAACGCAAATCAGTGAAGGTACCTGTTTGTCAAATAAACATTTTTTTTTTCAAATTTTTTGCACTTTTTTTAATTTATAGCGTAAAGCGCCCAGTGCGATTAAATACCACCAAAAGAAAGCTCTATTTGTGAGAAAAAAATGATCAAAATTTCATTGTACAATGTCATGAGCAATGATCAAAGGCGGCAGCGCTGAAAGGTGCAGGTAGGTATAAGTGCCCTATCTTAAAGTTCCCCATCAGGAAGCTCCTCTATACTATGTAGTGTAAAGTGTTGGGGGTGTTGGAGCACCAGATATTGTAGGATGTAGGGGACACAAGCTCTGTCATCTCCATAGTGTACACACCCCGACTTTGGACCCTCCCAGGGTACACGGGTGTGTAAATTGAAAGTATGTACCTGCACTGCACAGTGTTCTGTATGATCAACGTATGGAAGTTCATTGTGTAAGGTGCAGAGACAGGATCCCTCAGTATCAGGCTAAATATAAACATAATGGAAAATAGAAAAGGTTCCTTATCCCATGAGTTGCAGATAAAAATAAGGAATGGTCTTTCTCTTGCTACATGTCTTTACAAGGCTCAGGAAATGCTAAAAGTCCACGGATTAGAGGGCATAAATTGTTTGCCTTGCCCTGGGCACTGACAACCCAAGCTACAACACTGTTCAGAGGTCTTAGCCAACCACTTACATACAATAAGTGTCACAGACACTATGGACCTAAGTCTTTAAACTAAGGAAACATATGTATTTAATCTACAGGTAGTAGCATTCCTATTGTGTGTCACAGTTATGAAAAAAAAAAGATTCAGATTCCCAGAAAGAGAACTGAAAGTGGGGCACGAGCAATATCATACATACTTTATTATCCATGGGTATAAATCATAGAGTGACCAGACTCTCTCATAGTTAATATTTTTTTTCTTCCAAACAAATTTTATAGAGAATAAGAAAGTTTTACAATGCATAAAAAAAAAAAAAAGCAGGTGTATACATTGAACATATGGGAACATATTCAAGATTGTCGTAAGAAGAGAGTCTGAAAGCAGTTGTCCAGACCTCATCAGAACAGTACATCTAATGATTATACATTAGCAACAAAACAGTGCATAGCAAGATAGACAGTATGCACCTTTTGTCAAAACAGAGTTTTAAAAGACTATACTGCTGAGGGGCACAGTGCCAAGCTAATGAGTCTGTAAAATGGGGAGGCATGGACAGTATAGCCTAAGAGAAAAACTGGTTCTAGCTCATTCCTGGAAGGGAAAGGGCAGAAAGTGCATGGTGTAGGAGGGTTCTAGACATTAAAGGTGTTAAACAATGGAGCATAGACAATGGGTCCTCCTAGTCTCGGGCTAATTCATGAGTTGAACCACCCCAGTTTGGTGTGAAGTGTATGTTAGTGTGGGAATGAAGAAAAGTAAGGGAGAAAGTGCCAGAGGAAATGCACAGGGAAAGGGAGAGTAGAGAAAAAAAAGGGAGGGGAGAGGGAAATAGATAAGGGTGGTAATATATGGAGGGGAGGAGTATCCCAAATGAGGACATGGGTATGAGGGGCTTGAAGGCCCTCCGGCATGGAACCTCTCCCAACTCATCCAGCTAGCGTTTGAGGGTGAAAGGATTCAAGGAAGTTTTACAACGTAAAAAAGAGTCATATGTGTTGCCATGTTACCCAATCATATGGGCCATTACGGGGGAGCACCCATTACCTATTAGATATTAGTCAGGTGATTGAAAATGAAGCCAACAAGCCCAAATGGGTGTAAACTTTTGATATGCAAATTAATTCCTCCATGTCTGCAATTTTTATTCGGTCGCCGGTACCATTCAGATAGAGAGGGGACAAGAGTCCTCAATGTATGTGTATGCACATTTTAGTTGTCTTCACCATCTGCATTGCAAGTGATTTAAAATACACCTTGGAGGCAATCTGTGGTAGAGGAGATATTGGGCTGGGGAAATTTCTAGAGTGTATGTTGTTGCCCAGGCTATCACATCATGTATAGCTGACTGAAAAGATTGGAGAAGTGAGCATTCCCACAAAACGTGTAATAGAGTGCAAGCGGCTTGACGGCAATGCCAGCAGCAGTTGGAAACTGATGGATCGAATTTATATATTAAAGTGGGTGTCTGATACCAACACAACAGGATCTTATAGTAGTTTTCCTGGATTGAAACATTAACAGACCCCTTATTGTCATGATGTGTTCCCATTCCTCTTGAGAAGATCCTAGTTGAAGGTCTCAATAGATGTTATAGAATAGAATGTTTACATTCACAGCTTGTGAGCTTTATTTAACTGGAGTGTTTTCTGTTGTGCATGTACTTAAATCTCAGCCTTGCTGCTTCAGAGAGATATTCTAATTCCTCTAACCTCCAAAGTGAGGGATTCTTTGGAGATCAGGCTGGACTTCACCTAATCCATTAAAAATACCCTGTCAGGTTAAGGAAAGATCAATTGTCCCTGCAATAAAAGAGCTTTTTTACTTACCTTTTCATTGACCGGGATCTTCTACCCTTCTGAACTGAACAGAACTGCAATCTCCGTCATTGTCTTCAGCATTTAACACTTCCTGGAGTGTAAGATGCCTGTGTGCCCTGCTGTACACCATGGTCACATCCCTAGACACTTCTGGGTGTACTGTGACATGGGGGTTGGAGGAGGGAGCCACATAGCTTGATGGGAGACACTCTCAGAAGTGTGAAATACCAAAGAGTCTTATAAAGGCTGCAGCACTGGATCTGAGTAAAGTTTGCACACATGACCACACTGAAGGGTGTGTAGAAA